CCCAGGTATTCAAAAGTTGGTCCCACGGTATGACAAATGTCTCAATTCCGGTGGCGAATCTGTTGAAAAATAGCTGGACACTTGCTGTATCTGTTGCAATAAATATTTCCATGAAATTGTGTTTTGTTTCTGTAAACGGCCCCAGGGAAACTTACTTTGTGGACGAGCCTCGTATAAGTGAAACTTAAAACTAAGTATTTAATTATTGAAGTTCTGCTTTAAGCTACAGTTAGTTACGTACTTTCGACAATGAATGATTACTGCTGGACCAAGTCAGGAAATACTGTAAAGGATTTATTGATCCTAAACTATGTTTGGTAAGAATACAGTTGGAGGAAAAATGTAACTGTCAAAGTAAACTTAATTCCACCATCACGAAAGTGACAGGGTTGAGAACACAGCGAGTATTTCCATAAATTGATCAAGCAGTAATTCTGTTATAGGAGAAACATTACTATAAACATAACATTAAAGTTAATTTTTTTAATCGAGATGAATCTGCATTCAGGGCAAAGTTGTGTAGACACTCAAATTTGACAAAGTAACACGACTTGTGGTGTTTTAGGCTATGATGTCGTATAGTGTGGTCTTGTAGGTGGTTACCATCATTTCGAAGAAATACGTCTGTCACTATTAATTGTGTAGAAACAGGGAGAAAGCTGAAAATATGGGCGAAAGAGGAGAGTAGCAATTCTTAGAAGTACCCTTATCAGGGAGTTTTTATCCTCTTACGTATTTCTCGATTCTCATTGGCCAGTATCCTCATGCAAAAACCGATTCATGTACCGACTGGACTTTTGCCCCGACGATGGAAATAATACACTTCTCGGAACCGTTGGTAACCACTTACAAGAGAACACGGCTTCGTATCCCAGAAGTCCAGGATCCACATTTTTACCGCTCGAAAAGTACATCTTTATAACAGAGCTTCGCTGTAGATAATTTGAATTTCGCTACATACAAATTTGCCTTTTGTACTAGTTGGATTTCATAATTAGAAGTACCGGAATGCAGGTGAAGTTGAAAGTGTGTGTATAAAATTAATTATTTTTACGATGGCGGTAAGACATGTCTTACTTGTAAAAAAAACTCACAGTCAATTTCTTGGCAAATTTGACGACATGTTATACAATGTCCGCCCAACAAGAACGAAACAAGTATCACATTGAGAAAGACACGAGAGACAAAGACTTCGCTTATCTCTTCCCAGTGCGTACGCATTTCTCTTTTACCAACCACGTAACTGTGAACGTTTTTATACTAGCCTTTAATTATATAATGGAAATCCCGTTTAAATTTAACTGAGAATAATTTCTTTCATATGTACATACCTCACCTCCTTTCGTACCCCTATCTCCTTTAGAAGTACATCTAAAGCTGCCTAATTGTAGCGGCACTTGTAAAATAGAGTATTATGCTTCATAGCATCATCAATGAGAGCTCGTTCAGTCACGCGGGAGAGTCACAAACAGTATCTTAACTATATACAAGAAACGTATAAGATTTGAGCAAGGGAAATCACTTCCTTCAAAACTTCACGGCAGTATATCTAAGCGGTTTAAAGTAGGTATTACTTTCCGTGTACAGTAATATGTATCATTATTTAAAAAAACATAACAGTGTCCCTTGATAGTGACAATAGTTAAACAAGTATAACGTGATAAGTAACATATATGTATATTGTATAGTGTTTATTAATGTTTGCGGTTTCTAATACATATTATTTATTGTACTTTAACATTATTTCGATATCTTTGATGTTCATTGGTGGGGATTAGTTCCCTCTAATCGACCTGCCTGTGTAGGTACGTCCCCCCTGAAGTCGGAAGCAGATCCAGCTCCCGAAACAGTTTTATTTTTGTAGAATATAGGACAATGTATGGATTAAAAAACTTGCTGTACTAATTGCAATACGCTATCGTTAGAACCTTTATAATTGTTCTTTGAAGTCTTATATTACCTATATGTGATATACAAAACTACTGTAAGAATGGCCAACACGGACTTCGGTTATTAACGACAAAAGTTTTATAAATTCTAAGTATAAAGTAACTGGTATTCTAATTAATTGCAACTAACATAGGATTATTTACGTCTGTAAGGCTACGGGTAGCATGTTACTTAGATTGCCTAACTTAGTATTATGCATAAATATCAGAGACTGATATTCATGGATGCCAATAATGTTCCTGTTTATACTGCATTGCTTGGGATTAACAGGCTGTTTGTAACAATGCTTATTATTGCTTTCGTATTTGAAGGACGTGCCTTATAATCTATTCAAATTGCGTTCTCTTTGATAAACCTAATGTACAACCTAGTAATATCACGTACATTTAAAGAATTTAGGTGGTATGTATCGTATGTAGCAGTTACAATGTGCTATCTTTAATACAAGATACACAACGATTAACTGGCATTTAAACTACAGATAAAGTCAGAGAAGATAATAATATTTTCGAATCGCGACGACTTACCACAATATTATAATACAATTCCCGCTACTCATTTTTTTACATACGCAACAATTAAATCAGTAGAATATATTCAAAAGTTAATTTTTGTCGCAAAGCGCGGTAGATATCATCTGTCCTTGCGGAATCGTCAGCATCCGATAACTCATCTTCCTGTTATCAGGTATGGCAGCTTATCTGACATTCATTCCAGATATTTTTTTTAAAAGCGTGGCCAAACAGCTATTCTGATTTTGATGCTGAGTTTAGCATATGTGCAAGTTTTTGAAATACTGCCATTTTCATGTAATTCCAACATGTGTAATGCTTAAAATTTTCCTTCTTAAACAATGTAAGAGTTACCAAATACGATGGGAACCTAACCGGATGATACATACAGCTAATCAGACATTTGAATCCGTTTATCTAATATATCCATCAGATATATCACGATTACATCTTGTTACATTAAAAAGATTTTTTGCTAGGTGTAACAGATGTTCATATTGTTGACATAGGATTATAATATTCAGGTGCATAATATCAGAAATGTCATGTATGCATTGATCAGCGAGATTATATCGATCGAAAAGGGTAAGTGTCGGTAGATCAGTCTGTGCTGATATCACAATGCTACCAGACCCCTACTAAACGTTAATATTCTCTGTTTCAAAACTTGGTCAAATTCTTTGTATACGCCTGTTTAAGACACAAACCATTGACGAGTATCCATTTGTAGAAAATATCATGACAAATATGAAGAGAGGCCTGTCCTCACGTATAGGCAGCCGGTGCTAGCAAGCATAGCAGCGGACAAGGCCTACTTCATCGCAGTGCATACACTTCAGCGCCACGAATTCTGCTGTGAAGTCGTTGCGATGTACTGATTTCTTGGAGCCGTTGCAAATGGAGCAGGGCAGAAGGCGATGTCCTCCACAGACTTTGCAGGTAGAACACGCGTCAGGGCTCTGCACATACAGGTGTGAAAATCAGTACAAACACAGTCTCGAATACAAGGACAAGTCACAAGTGAAGATGTAATTCTGAATTTGTTGTTGATTGGTTCTAGGAGCAGATGTTTCTCGTTGCAGTGAAAAAATTATCAGATTCCGCAAATATTTTTTTGACAGATGCGTTAAACAGTATATATATATATTTTCTGTGCCAACTTGCCAGCTAACCGGCTAGTTAATTTGTCCATAAAATTTCGTTAATTTGAATATCTACTAATTATATGTTTGTCTCATCATCTTGTTATAGGACAAAATCTTTATAGGCCTATAAAGGTAGTTAAATAAATACTTGGAAAATCTGGCAGAGTTGAGATATTTGGGAACGACTATAACAAATGAAAATCGCATTTACGAACAAATTAATATCAGATTAAATTAGCTTGCTACCGGGTAGTTCAGAATCCTTTGTCTTCCCATCTGTTACCTAACAACGTAAAGAGATGAAATGAAAAATAAATAACAAATGTCGAGGGCGTTCGGGAGAATGTTAGACCCAAGACGGACGAAGTGACAGAGGGTGGAGAACATTGCATAGTGAGGAAATCAATAATTTGTACTTTCCCCGTATTATTAAGATAATTAAATCAAGGAGGGCGAGATGGGCGGGGCATATAGTGCGCATGTGGGGGATCAGAAATGCGTATATTTCTTTATCGGGAACTCAGAAGGGGAGAAACGACATGGAAGATGTTGGCCTAGATGAGAGGATAAATTAAGATTGACGTTAAAGTGTGTAGGAGGTGAAGATTGGGTTCACCTGACTCAGGATAGGTAACGTGGAGAGCACGGTAATTAATCTTCGGGTATATAGGAGGCCGAGATGGTCTTGACTAGACAAGCGACTATGAGATTCTTAAGGAGGAATGCTTAATGGAGTTAATTATTCAGTAAATTACTTGCAATTTGAATACCTTCGTTTACGTACCTACTGCCTGTAGTTGAGCTATATTAGCAAGCTAGTACGTCTTAACTACAGATCAAACGTAGATTAATCTTATACAATGAACGAAAGTGTGAAGTGCATTCATCTAGCTCAGGGTAGGGAGCAGCGGTGGGCTCTTGTGTACATGGTAATGGGATCTTCGGGTTCCATGCAGTATTGAGAGTCTGAAGGCCCTTTAACTTCTTAAGAACTCTGTTCAGTGAAGTTAGTGAAGAGGCGAATCATATAAGCCCCCTCCTGTGTGAAATTTGTACTGGAGAAAATACGTAGATAAACAAAGTAATGATTTCTTCCTACTTTATTCAGTCTTAGAGTCTAGAAAAGAAAATGGGTAATTCAGGTAGCCTCTGGTATTTCTGCTGTTAATCTTGTTGCATTGCTTGGGGTTGAGTGTTTTGTACCCTTGTTCCAGTCTCTGGTCCTTCGAAAATTATTCCAATAAAACCCCTGCATTAAGTTCACACCCACCATGTATATCGTACGTGATTCGAATACGCTTCCAAGACAAAGCAACATACGGTAATGAAAACGCAATTTACGTTGTTTCTCAGAGAACAGGATTGTTTTGTAATTTATTGGTTATCGCAACAGAAGAATAGACGGCTTAATATTCACTTTCGAGAATTATGGTCTGCGTTGTATTTACTTTTATCAGAGATTAAAAACGGAAACGTTGGTGATTTTTCTTATGTTCTACTCGAGAAAGGTAGAAAATAAAAATCCGTCAGAATTTTCAGAACGTTTAGTCGACTTCTGGGATTCCTAGGCATAGCTAATTTCCTACAGATTTTATAAAATATTAGGATGAGGGCCTACCTGCCCTGAACAAATCTAACTTTCTCATACTGAAGCAGCGTCGTTAAATAACTTAGATCTTAAACGAATCGATCAGTATTCACTCTAAATCGAAGCTGTAGAACTTAAGAATGAATTGCATACCGAAACTTGTTGCTGACATACTGAAAATTCTTATACATTTTAGTGGTTAAATCGCTTCATTGAACGTCGGGCAGCGGAGAGAATTTATGTAGGTGGCGGTGAGCATTTGATTTCCGTAATAGGGATTTTCTTTTAATAGCTGAATGGACATTGGCTGCTTAATGAAAACGCTACACTACGTGCCTGGTAATTCTGTTATATAGGAACAACTGCACCTCTATTTCATGTAAACCACTGTTCTTATACGAGAAAATATGGCATTAAACCTGTAGTTAAAGTGAAGTTATTTTACTTGCAGAATATAATGAATGGAAAGCGGGAGTCTTTATGACGTTTGACGTTATGTATCCATAAAACCCGTGATTCTAAGTGTAATAACCCTATATTCAGCAAGAGAATTAAAGCACTGAACTAAGGACCTACATGAAAGTTTATTACTCACTTTAAATGGCTTCAGTATCCTTCTTAGTTCGCCAGACTCGTTCAGTTTTTCAATTGTTTCTGCATTCTGAAAAAGAAAAAGAATTGCAAAATGTCATTGATTTGTCGAAGGAATGTGACAATATTTGATTTATCATAACTTGATAACAAATCATAGACTTGATAAGAAGGACTTCAGTCAATACATTTACTTTTGGAATTAGTTCTTTCTTGCTGAGCATAAAAAAATTATTAAATTGAGCACAATACTCCTTTTGACGTGTATTGATGTATGAGGTATTTCGGGAGCAAACCAACTCCCGAAAAATCACGCATGTCAAATATACCTCACAGAATGGATGATGCTTGGCAGAATATTGGCAGAATAATAATTTGTTGTTCTCTTACTGTGGATGTGAATTAAATCTGCGTGTTTAATATGTTATCTAGAGCAGGGGACAAAAAGTTTTAACTGACAAAGCTTCACATTTTTTTGATATAAGAAACGATAAGAACTGGCACATGACCTCAGGTAGGTAAAGCTTTCATTCTAACGGAGTACGAGATTCTTGGATGCCGAAACGTAACACTACACTTTTATTTGGTTTTCAGTTTGTTTTATGTTCATGTTGCTTACGAAGCAGTGAGCGTATAATGTTACTTAATGGTTACCTGGAAGTAAGTCTCTCTTAAATTTGCTAATTTTATGGAAATCAAAATTTCCAAACCCCCATTGCGCTAGAAGTGGAAATCGCTATCCATCTCCTGTCATCTGAATGTATAAATCACTAATTCAAGCTGTTGTCAACGTCTTTAAATAAATCAAAGTTTCAGTATATTTCGAAAATTCTTTCAACTTAGCCTGCGTAATTTCAGGACCCTATTTTAACAGACGCTGGTGTTTTTACCACATCATACTGTCGCACGTCCGCTGTATTGGCATTACTGATTATCATAGGTCTTAAAAATCTTCGGGTGATTTGCATACAGGAATTAATTAAAATCGGCCATCTGTTTTACCATGAAATGGTGGTATAATAAGCCTGCTTTTCCGGTAAGAGATGAAAAAACTGTCTAAAACAGAAGGATTTGATATTATATACGACGGTGAGTATGAAGTTGGCTATCTTCTGGGTTATCGTGATTAAGCTCCCTGATGATGAAGGCAGCAGATATCTCTGAACTTTGGTAGACTACTGCTAGACTACACAGCGCTACAGCGCAGAAGACAGCCACATTCATACACGAAAGCATTTTTAGTTTTAATCGTTGACGGCGCCTGGCTACATAAAATGTGGGGCTATGTTTTAGCATACTTTTATGCTTTGTTCAGTAGGAAGTTTGGAACTCTTAATGTATAGTTATGGCGATTACCTCATCATCTTTTTATGGATGAGGCATGAATTGCAATGCACGCCCACATAAGTTCAGATGTTACAACATGCGATGCTGAACTTTGTCGTGATTGTACGATTGATGAACCGAACGATGCTGTGAAAGAAAGGGGTTGCGGGGGGGAGGGAGGGGTCAGCACCTGTTGGTTTGCAAGGACAAATAGAGGGAAACCTGACAGGTATGCACTAGGAGATAATAACATACATTACGATAATGGCATGTATAGAATGTTCACAAAGTTATTTCATAATTTTTAAGTATTTAATTTATTTTCTCGAAGTTCGTTGTCCATAACTTGTACTCTCTGTAGATGGTCAAGGAGTATTAAATGCACTGTTCTTACTATGTAGTTCTTTGCAGTTGAATTTCTTATGTTGCCGTAACAGCGTCTCGCATGTTTTAGTGGGAATGTTGCATACCAAATCACTAAACTTCTTATACTAATAAAGGTTCTGTACTGAAGATGACAATTGCCATTCGTGCAGTCGTGACTGTTGATACAGCCTTCGAAAACACTGGCTTATCACCTGTAACTGTTCGCTGCAGAACGCCAGAGGGTCAGAGGAGGGGAGCATGAAATTGTACTTTCATAAATCCAAGACGTAGAAGGTCGTACTCTCACCACAAAGGAATTGCTAAAATAGCATTGTCACATCCACATCCTTTTAACACGATTGTGATTAACATGTCCGTAGTTCGGATTCTCGGGACTACGCATATTATGTTATTTTTATAAAACTCAGGTTTGCACGAAGTGAGGGTATGGAACAGTGGCAGGGTCCGTATGTCTGACTTCTCGCGCGTTGTAACTCTAATCATCGAACGCATTTTGATGAACGGTGGCTTGATGAATTACACTGGGCTCTCGCCATTTGCACATTTGTTCGTATCGATCATATATATTTATATGCTACTTTTCATTAAATTTGAATCGATGTTTATAGATTTTCTCATCAAACAGACGCCCCAGGCTGCTTAAAGAAACTTATGCAAGATGTTGACACACTTTGGTTCCGAGAAAAAAAATCATACTTTACAAGGAAACATGGGTGGCAACTTCAGCTTGTTTCTGTATGTGCTGATTTCATGATTTATCAACGAACTGGCGAATTTTAATGACGTCTGGCTTGGGCAAAATGCTGCAGTTGGCTGCAAGAGCGCTCTTAATTGCATTTTCCCTAAAATAACGTTACCGTCGCATTTGCTGTGCTTCTGAGTTGGAAGTATCTTCATGCCATTTGATATAGGATCCTGAAACGTTATGATGTATTTATCAAACTTCAGAAACGTATAAGTTACTTTATATAGTAATTTCTCTCTGTAGAATGTAAAACAAAATCTGCATTTTCCTCGTCTCGGATCACTGATAGGCATGTAAAATAACGTGTGAAGTTATTAGAACATTAACAGTTTTTTAACGTTGAATAACGTTTGTAAAATCACGGTACACTCGACGGAAACTGTAAGATGTAAGGTAACGCTGGTGTGCAACTTCTTCAAACGCCAATAACTCGAGACCTATGTAAGATAGAGAATATAAACCCATACGTAAATTAAAGAGTAAATAAAGGGTTTTTTCTACATGATGTTTACTTTATTCTATAATGCATATTTTACACATTGTTGAAATAATTACCCAAAATATGTAATAACTATACCCTCGTTCCTTAACTTCAACCGCTTGCCACGACTAAAGCGTAAGAGTTAGATCAGGACATATTGCCACTGAAATACGTAAATAAACACGAGCTTTTCAAATTTGCAAACAGATTTCAGCTAACTCTTACGGTTTAGGAGTTTTGGCCATTTATTTGGTAACAAAGAACGGTTCTAGAGTGAGTGTGTTGAGTACATGACGCAACACATAGATAAGCTGTCCGCGGATGACGTCACGTATAGATAAGATGTAAAGGTATACATTAATGTGTAAATAAAATTTTATTTCAGTACAAATATACTTCTACAGTTAAACGTTATTCGACGTTAACTAGAGAACCGTGGTTCCACTGCCAATTTTATTAAATACTTTCCATTTGTCACAATGCTAACAGTCCACAGCAGTGGCCATGAGCATAAGTGTGTCCCTAATTGTGTGAGTGGCCAAATGTAGCACACAGTTTTAAGAACAAATTAAGAGGACCTGGAGACAGGAGACGGTATACAGGGACCACTTTCTTAATCCTTGTGGCAAGAACAACGGTAGTCAGTGAACGTAACGAATTTAGAAGCTCGCAACTTTTTATCATAGCTGCTTCTACGGAGTAACATTGTTCTGTATATTTTAAAATTTCCATTAATGTACAGCAGGACTACAAGATAAGCAAGAGATTTTAGTGTATACTTCGTAAGAGAGAGGCAGAGAAAACTAGGCCGTTACCTACGCGGTCGGCTTCATACCAGGCGCCAGGTATTTGTGATGTGTGCCACAAGTATCACGACAAAATGTTTTACTAACGCATCAAGTTATTGATGCACTAGTTTCTCTTTCTAGACCGTCACGTCATAGTACAGTGATCTTTGGAATGAGAAATTATCGCGGTTGTGATTCCAGCAGTATAAATGGCAAACCAAACGAATTTCTATTTACCTTCTCATTAGGATGCATTGGGCCTATTTCTAAAGGATTAACACAAGAATAAAGATTTGCTCTAGAGGAATGCTTGCATTTCTCGTGGGTCGTGATGACAACTTGTTTCGGATATAAATCTGTTATTTCAAAGACCAAGTTTTACAATTTGGATACTAAAATAAGAATTAAAAGTTTAGTTTATGTACAGTTTTTGAAATTCAAAAGGAAAATTTTAAGGATTCCGAACTCAGGATTAGATGAATAAATCTGAGCAACTGCAACTGAAGGGCGAAGGGGAGATGATCT